GGACTGACCAAACTTGGTCTGGGGCTGACCAAACTTGGTCAGCTCCGGACCAACGCACTGAAAACTGCTTTTCATGCTCGTTTCGGTCAAATCTCGTTTTCATTTTTCGTATTCTTCACGTATAAGTCCATCCCTATTGGTGTGTGACGCTGTAGGCCCATTCTAAGTGGTAGTGACTTTAGGAACCTTTTCCGAACCACAAGTCATGGTTTAGCCTCTAGCAAGACGCCATGACCACCCATTTAGAATTGAGTTAGAGGTGATCTAACCAAGGCATTAACAGCTCGAATTCTGATCCTTTGTCTCACGATATCATAAGTTGAACAAGGGCATGGTTTGAGCCACCCTTCAAGTTCAACTGCTTTCTCGTCTTGGCAAATCGACTAGTAAAATAGATGCAACTTCATCTATAGCGTGGCCACGCGTTTTCATAGTCCGACTTCCACGAGAGGGCCCAGCGATATCTCTCCTGTTAAGGAGGTGACAAATCCCATATTGCATGTCTACTATCTCCATATGATTCATGAACGTATCTGATCAACGCCGTTATAATCATCCGGTTAAAGACGACGTTTGACGCAGTCAAGACACGCCACTCCTCCTATCAGATACTCTAGACATCTCAGGTATGAGGATCCATAAACGAACCGCTGTATGAGATTCAAGTCATGACTCTGTCCATGTGACAATCTCATGCGGGTCATCCAGTCACTCGTTCACAACGAGTACCCATGATTGTGATATGCATCCAATGCATCGATCACTCCTCATGCTAGTCTTAATTCAACATTGTTCCCACAATGTTGACTGACTAGGGAGTTTAGAATCATTCACTAATGATTCAAGGATGCCGAAATATAACAAACATGCCAATCATATAAAGGGAATGTAATGCATTCATAAATCAATGAATCAATACAAAGTCAAAATGTCATATTACGGATTATCCTAGAGCATTACAACCAACAGGAGTTATTGCATACCGTCTTGGATTGCCGCCGGAGCTGGGCAATATCCATGACGTGTTTCACGTGTCGATGCTGCGAAGGTACATAGTAGATCCTTCTCACGTTTTACAGCCCCAGGAGTTGGAGTTTACGATTCGGGATGAGCCACTGCAGATCGGAAGATCAAGAAGCTGTGGACGAAGAAAGTCCCACTTGTGGCGGAGCCAAGGGGTCTCCGACATGATTTGGGAACCCGAGGCAGAGATGCATAGTAGTTATCCGCATCTATTTACTTGAGTATTGTACGAACTCGAAAACATGACGTTCGGTTTGTATCATACTTATGTTTTCTAATGACATGACAATCTGGATTGTGCTTTGGTGATGATATCGGATACGAAAAAATCTTGGTGACATCACGAGATTTTGAATTCGAGGACGAATTCTTTTTAAGGGGGGAGGATTTGTAATACCCCGATTCCCGTATGAATTATTTAAATTAATTTCGAGAATAAAAGGAAGGTAAAACAAGATTAAAAATATAGAGAATATTTCAACGAAGATCTAGAAGAAAACGGAACTCGATTTGACTGGGAAACGAGGAAGTTATGAACAAAAGAAATCTGAGTAGAACCCGGAATTCGGAATTCGCGAGTTATTTGTGGTACGGACGTTTCGAGTTTGTGCCTCATCGTGTGAACATGAGTTTTCAATAATCTATTTATTGGACATGAAAGAGGACGTTCCAAGGAAGGTGTAGAAACAAACGGCGAGCGATTTGGTTAAGAAAAGAGTGAGAACGGAACGATCGAAAACGGACTACGCACGTCAGTCCGGACGGACCAGAGAGGCGGAACGGACAGTCCAGGAATGCAGAACGGATGGACCACGTAAGGCGGAACGAACGGACCACGAACGTGCGAGGAGCTGGGCTGAAACTAGGCCCAGACCGTCCGTTCCAGGCCCAGAACGGACGGTCTACTGAGCAGAACATGCAAGTGGCCAACTTGCTGTCTTGGGACACATTTTTCTCCGCGTTTTCGGGGCCCACCGACGTCAAATCGCCGCCCAATCCGCTCAGGGTGTTGCAGGCTCGACCATGGGCCTGGGCTTGAGCCCATTTCGCCTCTCCCACGCGGCCAAAAACACCCCCAAAGCTGAGAGTTAGCCATTTTCGGCGAAAGGAAGAAGAAAAGAGAAAGAGAGGAAAAGGGAGAGAAAGAAGGAGAGCCACTGCGAGGGAAGCTCGGGGAAGCAAAGGGGGACATCTCTAGAGGCTCTAGAAGAGGTTTCCGGCGAGAAACAGACCGGAAAACGGCAACAAATCCGGCCAAAACCCAACTGAGCCAAGAACAAGGTGAGTGGCTCGAGTTGCATCTGTGTAAGCTCGTTTTCGTCGATGTAATTGTGTTATTTCGATGGTTTGTTACTTGGATTAGATAGAGGACACTTCAATGAACATTTAACAACAAACGGGACTGAATTTTGTTGAGAAATTAGGGAGATATGATCAAACGAAATCGGACCAGAAAACTGTTTCGCGAGAGCGAACAGAGCCGGAACAGACGGACTCTAAGGCCCGTTCTCCGAAATGGCCGAAGAGTTGTTGAGAGGGGCCAATGCTCAAAGAGGTCCAGCCCAAGCAGCCCCTAGAACGCTTCGAACGTACACACAACCGAAACATACTCAGTTACTATCATGCATCAACAAGGAGCCGTTGGAAGATTTTGAACTCCTACCGCAATGCATTCAAAGGCTTAACAACATGAGTTTCCGTGGCAGACCCAACAAGGATCCGAACGCTCACCTTATGAATTTCAAGATGAATTGTAAGGCAATCAAGAAGGGACCGGGGATAACCACAAAAGACATGCTCCTTGAGACTTTTCCCTACTCACTTATGGAGAGAGCTAGAGATTGGCTCTACACTCTTGAGCCAAATTCCATCTCGACATGGGATGAGATGGAAGAGCAGTTCCTTATGCTATACTACCAAGACTCAACATGCGAGAAATCGGATCAATGCCTTTGTGAAAGAGGATGGAGAGAACCTTCACGATGCATGGGAACGCTTCAAAGAATATCAAAGAATGTGCCCTCACCATGGAATGGAAAGAGACTACCTTTTATCCATCTTTATCCATGGGTTGAAGGATGACACTCGGTCTTGGATCGATGTGGCATGTGGAGGTGACATTTATGACATCCCTTTCTAAGAGCTAGAGCGACAATTGCAAAACTGGCCAAAGGACACAGCCATACATCCAACGAGTTCAGTAGGAGAAACTCAGTGAAAGGTGATGTGGGAGAAAACGCAGCTCTTAAGGCGGTGCTATCCGACCTTGCCGGGATAAAGATTCAACTCGCCAATGCCAAGCAAGTAGCTGATGTGGAAGACCACAATTTAGCGCAAGTTCAACCGGGAATGTACATGGTTGACCAAGAGGCGGAAGAAGCTAACTATATCGGTCCTAATCAATACACTCATCCGTTCAACCTATACAACCCCGGATTGAGGAATCATCCCAACTTCTCATACAAGAACACGACGAATGCGCTAAATCCTCAACCCGCTTTTCAACGGAACAATCAAATTCAAAGACCCCCGGACTTTCAACCGAAATATCAACAACAAGGTCAAGGAAATCAAGGCTACCAAGGCAATTTTAACTACAAAGCACAACAAGCACAACCCAAAGAGCAAGACTCCGAGATAAAGGACATGCTTATGCAAATCCTCCAATGTCAAAAATTGCAAGGTGCAACTATCGGAAATATTGAGAATGAATAAGTTGTGTTCAAGAAACAATTGGAAGGAGTACAAGTTCACTTGAAGATCTTGGACAATCAAGTGGCTCAACCTGCATCCTCCTCATCGTCAAGACAACAAGGTATGCTCTCCGGAAAAAACGAGATGAATCCTCGAGAACACATTAATGCAGTGGAGGAGTGGGAAACACCTTCCTGAAATCACCCCTCCTATGGTTGAGAGGGGACCAACTCCAAGGCTAACAAGAGAGGAGAAAGGCAAAGCGATAGATGAGAGCATTCCTAAGGTGGTCGATCAAGATAAAGAACCCGTCTACATTCCACCGCCACCTAAGATACCTCCAATCCCTTTTCCTTCTCATCTAAGGAAATTTAATGAGGAAAGTCAGTTTGGGAAGTTTGCGGAGATGTTGAAAAAGATGGAGATTACGATACCCTTTCATGAGGTAATTCTTCAAATGCCCTCATATGCGAAGTTTCTAAAAGACATCTTGATGAGAAAAAGGGTTGTAGAAAAAGAAACAGTAGCCCTTAGTACCGAGATCAGTGCTGCAATCATGAAGCATGAACTTCCCCCGAAAATGGCTGATCCGAGAAGTTTCTCTATCCCTTGTAAGCTACGAAACATCGACATCGATCGAGCCTTGTGTGATCTTGGAGCGAGTGTAAGTTTAATGCCCTTGTCAATCTACAAGAAATTGAACATCGGTGAGCTAAAACCGACAAGGATGGCATTACAATTAGCGGATAGATCGATCAAGTACCCGGCGGGAATATTAGAAGATGTACCTTTGAAGATTGGTGAGGTCTATGTACCGGTCGATTTTGTGGTGCTAGACATGGATGAAGACTCCAAAGTTCCAATCATTTTAGGACGACCATTTTTGAGTACAGCGGATGCCATAGTGCACGTTCGGGCTGGGAGATTAACTATGAAGATCGGAGATGAAATAGTTGAATTCTCACTTGACCAGAATTTGAAGCAGCCCTCGATCAATGCTACGGTGTGTTATGCGGATATACTTGAAGCAACGGTCGTAGAAGCAAGTTTATACAGTAATTGGAAAGAGATCGAAGAGATAAGATGGGCATTGGACGGTCAAGAGACCGAAAAAGACGCTTCTGAAGTATTTCGGGTGATCCGCCTAGATTTCTAGGTGACCCGCCCGAAATCAGCTAGTTTCGGAGTGATGCAGAGGCAAACGAACGACCGCCCGACATTTTAGGCGGCCCGCTCGAAATCTCTTAGCAAATTCGATGAAATTTCTGGAGGAACAAGCGACCGCTCGAAATTTCGGATTCTCGAGCGGTCACTCGTTTCAGCCGGAATTGTATCGAAATTGCACAGAGATTTCGAGCGCGCCGCTCGAAATTTCGAGCGGTCGCTTGTTCCTCCAGAAATTTCATCGAATTTGCTAAGAGATTTCGAGCGGGCCGCCTAAAATGTCGGGCGGTCGTTCGTTTGCCTCTGCATCACTCCGAAACTAGCTGATTTCGGGCGGGTCACCTAGAAATCTAGGCGGATCACCCGAAATACTTCAGAAGCGTCTTTTTCGGTCTCTTGACCGTCCAATGCCCATCTTATCTCTTCGATCTCTTTCCAATTACTGTATAAACTTGCTTCTACGACCGTTGCTTCAAGTATATCCGCATAACACACCGTAGCATTGATCGAGGGCTGCTTCAAATTCTGGTCAAGTGAGAATTCAACTATTTCATCTCCGATCTTCATAGTTAATCTCCCAGCCCGAACGTGCACTACGGCATCCGCTGTACTAAAAAATGGTCGGCCTAAAATGCTTGGCAGAAGCATCAGACTGACGACAATGAGATCTCCTGTCTCATGCTGGGAAGCATGGCCCCGAATCTGCAGAGGCAGTTTGAGGGGAAGAGCGAAGTGTCTCGGTATGCGTGCGAG